CAGGGATCAGATGGGTGATTTTCCCAATATAGATGTGTGTTGACCTCACCTCTTTTCCACTGGGGTTTTTCTTTAGTCGGAATATGTCCACTTGTAAAATGTGTCAAAATAACTATCATGGAAAAAATACATTCAAAATGTATATTTGAAAACTATAGGGCTGAAGTAGGCATTGTTTGCATAATAAAAAAAATCTACTTGCTTTTCCTTAAGCATCAAAGTTCTCCAAAATAATTACTCAATTTACAAGATTTTCCTCCAACACACATTTTCTCTACGTGATCCTTTAAATACAGAGTCAGATAACCAGGACGGATCCTGCTTAAAATAGCCATAGAAAGAACTTAAGAGGTTTACCCAAGAGGTGGGAATAAATTGAATCCTAACCCATTCTGTCAAGTGGGAATTGCATCCGAGTTCTGGCAGGAAAGCTGGTTTTCACAAGGGTCATTCTTGTTGCCTTCTTTGAGAGAGCTGGGTGGAGAGCATGCTATTTTACGGCACACTCCACCTCAGCTTTGTCCCTTTGATTAAATATGTAACCAGGTTCCCTTATCTTTACCGACTCACCAATCAGGTAATGGCAGATTTTTCTGATGCTTGGCAGAAGGTCTGATTGAGGAGGGTCCTAACTAAACCGTCGGTAGGACCTGTTGAGCACAGTCCTTCATGGGAAAGATTTAACTGGAAGTAGTTCTTCCCAATATTCAAGAAAAAAATTGCTACTATTTTAGCACATTAGCCTTAGAGATGTAAATTTTCACTAATGATACATTAGAGAATCTGCGGCCAACGGTGATGAGCTTTGAGATAAAGGAGAAATTTCGCATGTTTAAGAACAAGTGGAAAAGTCTTTGTAAGATATTGGTATATGTGAACATTTGTGGTCAGCCTGAACCAGCTGGCATCTTGAAATACACAGCTAACTGCATGTTTACTCCTTAGTTACACATGCAGCACCATGGGAACTTGGGCTTCCGCTGTTTTTGTTCACAACATGGAGAAGTGTAGAAAAGTCACTTGCATTTTTTTCTACATTTATCTTTCATCTGTTTTCTGTAATATCAGGAGTAGAGCAAGTGCTAAAGCTTTATCTTATGTTAAAGCAGGGGGCCTCATGGATGCGTTGTCATCACTGACACAGCTATCAATCTTTAAAAAATTATGCGTCTCCAAATGTCAAACTGGAACATGAAAGGTTGCTTTTGTTCTTAGTTTTTCTTTTTTAACTGAAATTTTTAATGCATAAAGCAAACACTTGGACACTCTTCTAAATTGTGTAGCAACATACTAGAGTAGTTTAAAAGTTCACCAAAGTGGGAATGAAAAACCAACTTATTTCCACGCAAAAAATTGAAATGTTCATAGTTGATTTTAAAATCTCAATACATGGCCACAAACCACTCTTGAAAAGCCATTTTCTGCAGTTGTGATATTAGAAATAGAAAGCAATAGTTTCTAGAAAGTGTCAGCTAATTTTTTTAAAATAGCACTATACCACAAAGACAGGTTTTACTGACATGATAAGAAAAATGTTAAGGAGGCTGTAGCATCACTATGAAAATGAAATTAAATCTGGACATTTTATTGCAATTGCTGTACAAAGATTATTGTTTCAACAAGACTTTGTAATGAAACGTATCATGATATGATCTTTGTATAAATAAAACAATTCTAAATTCTAACATAGAAAATAAGCAAATCAAAGTGGAACACAATACAATAAAGAAAAACACTGTCTCAAATAACAACCCTTAAAGGGGCATACTTAAAGAAAAAAAAAAAACACAATTCACAGAGTTAATCTTCGTTCATTGGATTTAACATACTGCATCCCTTTTCTGAACAGGATCTATAGATTATAGAATCAATAAATTTGCTTTTGACATGTCTTTTTTACACTTAACTTCTCATGCTAAGGAGAAATTGTCCTTTTATACTTTATACATTTCAGATAGAATGGCTGTGGGTAAGAATAGAGAGATGTGGAAATGTAAGAGAAGGTCAGACATAGTTCCTCAATGCCCTTGGTCTCACTAATCCATAAGCAGTAACCCCTACCCACACCCCAGTATGCCTTCTCTTCCCTGGGAATCGGTTCTGTGTTTTGCCTTACAAAGAAAGTTGGCTTCAAACTTCCCGATATGCTCTCTCAAGTGAGACTAGCTTCTCCATCAAGCTTCCAGGGTGTAAGGGTTGATGAACTCCTTTCTTTGTTACTAGTCCCCAGATCACTCTATGATATCCCGGAATTAACGTAAAGAATATCAGTTGAAAAGAAAAATCTGTCCCTTAGCTGCTCATTCTAGAATGGCCTTCCTGTCCCATCGCCTCCATCTCTCTGAACCAAGTTTACCAGCCTGCTATATCCACCCACCAGCCTTCCTCCTTTTGGTGACTGGACAGCTTCTCAAACTGTGTACATTGGAACCAGCTGGGAACTCTTGTTCCATTCAGAAAATGAATCAGTTGGGTACACTGGGTGATGTTTTATTTCTCATCAGTCCCCTGAGACGCTGTGGGTTGCTTGCATTGACAAAGCCTTGGAAGAGCCGTTTCTGCTATAATCTAACCTACTGATCTTCTATTCTTACTTCACACTGATTCCTTCTTGTTGTTAGTATCTTAATTTTCTAACATTCATTATCACCCCTTGCCTTTCTTCCCCCTGCTGAAGTACCAAACTAAAACACCTCCATTTAACGTCTCTCCCTTTCACAGTTTTTTGTTTTTCATTTGATAAGTTTCTGTTTTAACTTTAGAATGGCAGAAAGTTCAACTAACATAGGAAGTAGCAAATGACTTCAGATTTATTTCACCAATTTATGTCTTCTTTGAGTTTGTTCCATGTCTTCTCTCAGATGTCTCAAGGGTCCCACGAGCATGAGACGCATGTCTAAATTAACAGTCCCTGTTCCACTAGACTCTTACCATGATTACCCAACCAGATGTACAGACCAGTAAGCTATTGTTATTACATTCTTACAACACTCTTCTCCCTTGCTACTGAATGTCTACTGAATTGATTACATTATCTCCACTCCAGTATGGACAACTGGGCTCTCACAGTGGTTTCCTAAGGAGATCTCCATTCCACTTGTGCCCCTTTCATCTGCCCTGCACCCTCAAGACACGGCAACTCTTTGGAAAGACAATCTTGATCATCCCCACTGAACCCCGCTCATGTTGCTGTTCTTTCAGTCCCCAACAACGGCCAGGCAGGCTCCTTGCCACCAAGAGCCATTGCCAACCTGGAATGCCCTTCTCTTAGGTAACCGTGTTCCTTTGAAGGATACAGCCTCAACCACAGTTTTCTCAGGAAAGCTTTTCTTTTTCTTTCTTTTTTTTTTTTTTTTTTTTTTGGCCTCTGTGATTATATCAAAACCATCCACTAGAAGGTGACTCATGTACTTCATTATGCCCATGATTCTTTCCCAAAAGTATGATACAGTTACGGTTTTGTTTGTCTTCTCAGGACTCGCTCGACTCCTGGCAATGAATGAGTAGATGGTCTCACAGTGTCTCTTGAATTGACACTTATGCACAGACAGCATCCAGGAAATCTTGATTACCATGCATTTGACCCAGGCACCAGCTATTTCTATTGCAGAGTTGGTGGAGAGACATGAATTAGGAATGCTATAAAGAAAAAACAATTCAATTGTATTTGCGGAAGATCTTTATGTTGTGACCGAGGGGTTTAATTTGATTCTCAGCTTGATCTCAAAGATGGATCTGCAGAATGCTGGAAGGAGCAGGGTTTCAGCTACCAAAAAAACCTGTCGAGTTCCATTTACTGGTTTTTGGATGAGCTGGATTTTAGGTGACTGATAGAAATATTCTGGAAAACATTCACGTACATGCGTGGAGAGTGTGTGAGGGATCACGCAGAGCACCTCACCTCAGCTGGCAGCACTGAAGGAACCAGACATGTTGGAGCCATGTGTGTTTGCCCCTCACCCCCTATCTCCCAGCCCTTCTTTGTTTTCCCTCCCATCCCTGCCACTTCCCTGGACTTTCACTTAATGATTGCGCCAGCTTCCTCTCTGCTTCTCCTCTCTCCTACTGCGCACCTTCCTTGCAGAAGGACTTTTCCCACACAAACTTTTCTGCTGTACCTCTTCTGTCCAAACTGGATCTTTCACCAAAACGTCATGATTTACTCCCGAAATTCCTGCACAGTGCCTTTGGTTTTCCTCTCCAAGATGACTTCTGGCTTCTTTCTTTACTCCAGCTGCTCTCCAATACAACCCTACTAGACCCGGAGCCATCTCCAGTTCCCTTAAACCTGCAGGGCGCTCCTCCCTCCCCCAAGTCTTATAACTGAGAGAAAAAAGCACTGTGTTGTAACGTGTTGTATTTGTTCCTAGTGTGGAGGCTGTTTGGTTTTTTTTAATCAAGGCCACACCTATCCTCTATACATGAACTCCAATGTGGCTTTAGGACCTCTTCCCCCAGGACAACTCTGTCCCTTGGTTATCTGCTAGCTTTCTCTAATAACTCTTAGCAGTAAGTTCGCTGACTCACTTTGTCACACAAGCGCGGTTAAACCTCTTTATTTGGCATCTCCCGAGGCAGCCCGGCTACAAAGAGCTGGCCTAGGCAGAATCCGAGGTCACACCTTCCTCCCAGGTGGAGAAAATACGGGAGCCCTTCCGCCCCTCCCAGGACCTCACCAAGATGGCTACCGGAGGGCGCCGGGGCGACAGACGTCATCACGCGCCCGGGGAAGGGTGGGGCCCTCGAGGGACTCTGAGCGAGTGGGCGGGGCCCGCGGGACGGGGCGGGGCCTCTCGCGGGGCGCGGGGCGGGGCCGCGGAGGGGGCCGGGGGCGTTCTTCCCATTCAGCCGGTGCGCGCGGCGGCGGGCGGCGGGCGGCCACGTCGGGGAGTGCTCGACGCCCGGTGGCCGAGCCCGTCGGGGACGGCCCGTTCCGAGCGCAGCGAAGCCGGTGGCCGGGGGAGCGAGCGAGCGAGCGAGCGGGCGGGCGGCCGACCGGCGCTCGAGCTCCGCGGGCGGGAAGCACCAAGGACCGGGGAAGCCCCGGCAGGCGCACGGCAGCGCCTTGCCTCACCTAAGGGGGCCGCGGCGAGGGTCCCCGGAGACCGGGGCGCCACCGGGCGCGACGACCCGGGCCAGGCTCCTGGGAGAGAAGGCGCAGGCCCCTCCTCCGCCGCCGCCGGGCCGCCTCCCACCTCCACCGGGGCCGCCGTGGGAAGAGGCACCTGTGCGTCCCGGTGCGCGCGCGCCTGTGCGCCCGGTGTTCCTGCGGGGCGAGCCGGGGCAGCGCCCCTGGACGGGCGCAGGTGGGGTTCCTCCGGAGCGCGACGTCCGCTGCTGTCGCCGCCGGCGTCCCCGGCTGCCACCGGGTCTCCAGGACCGTGCCGCCGGCGCTGGGGGAGGAGCGGCTGCGGACCGGGCACCATGAACAGCGGCGGCGCCAACATCACCTACGCCAGCCGCAAGCGGCGGAAGCCGGTACAGAAAACGTGAGTGTCCCCGCCCCCAAAATCCCCGGGAACCCCGCGGATGAGGCCCGCCGAACCGGGAGTGGAGACCCGACTTGGATTTTTTTTATTTATTTATTTTTCTCCCTTAATTCCTCAGCGCCCTGTTCTCCCTACTCCAGGTCCCGGTTGTGGAGGGTGCATTTTAGAACTAGACCCCTTCTCTCCCGCGCCTCGCCCTCTGCCCTCCTCCTCCTCACTCCCCGAGGGACTCTGGGGCGCGCGAGCCCTCCGGCAGTGCCCTGCATGGGTGCTAAGTCGCTGACAGCCCTGACCTGGCCCGCGGTGCCCGTGGCTTAGCGCTCCTAAGCCCGCCTTGAAATCCCCTTGCACGGTGCTGTGCGCGTGGGCTGGGCTGAGCTGAGCGCTGCCTTTCCTGGGATGCACGCCTGGGGCGAGCCGGCCCCAGGAGCTCCCTCAGCACGCGCCTGCCTCCCTTTTTCCTGCGAAGGTGTCTTTTGGTGTGTGACAGCTGGCGCCTCGTGCCACTCAGTCTTGGTGCTGACTCCATGAGGCGCCCGGGTGTCCGGCTGGGCCACCTGCGTGGGGCTGGTGGCAGGTGGCAGTTGCAGCGCACAGGTCCGCTGCGGCTTTGGTGTTTCGGGCAGGGAGGGAGGGCGTTTAAGAGTTTGTAAAGATTTGTTAAGAGAGAAGTTTGCATGCTTAGCAGCCACCCTTGATGCCTCCTCTCCCCTATGTGAGAGTGGTGCCAGTTCTAGCTGAGTGATCCCAAACGCAGATTCTGTTTGTTTTGGTGAGGTGTGTGTGGGGGGAGAGGGCAGATTGTCCAAATGATTTCTTTCAGAAAAATCAGAGAGACTCCTTACTTGGGACAGATTTTGCTTTTTGAGGCGACGGTGTTCGCATTTATATTCTTGAGATTTGCACGAACGATTTTTAAGAATGTGTATCAGAAAAAAAAAAAAAAACCTTCACTGTCACTATTGCAAACCAGGAGGTTGTGGGCTAAGTTAAAACCAGCTTTGAGTTGAAAAGTTTCATGGTTGTGCAGTTTTCATTTGCCTCGGAACCTCAGCATGATCCAGCCACCTGGGTCGGCATCCACAGAGACTCATCCTTACCTGGGCCCCATCAGGATTTGTGCTGGTGGTGGTGCTGGTGGCGGCTCCCAGCAGCATGACCCACTTGCCAGTGCTCTGCCCTGGCAGCTGGTTCTGACACTGATTTACAATACTTTTCCTTCTGTAGAGTGGACTGTTATAGAAAAACCTGTTCGCAGTTTATCCTGAATGGGTAAAATTGGGAGGCCTCCCAGATGTCCGCTCTGTATGCTGGCCGATGTAATAGGCTTGGGTCACCGGAGTGTGGTGGGAGGTGGAGGCGGGAGGGTTGTGTGTGGCCGCAGAATAGGAAGCTCTGCCTTGTGAGGGCCTAAGGGAGTGGGTTTGAGTCCCTGTCCCACCGAATGGCACTGATGCCTTTGTAAGCCAGTCACTGAGCTAGTTAGGTGCTCGTTGCAAAGGTCGGCATCTTTGGTTTCCAGGTAATATTTAATGAAAGGCCTTACATTTTTACACGCTCTACTTGTTTGTGCAAGCTGTCCCTTTGCTTGCATTACCTTAACAAGACCTTTTAGTCTACTTCCCGAGGCTTCGATGGTCCTGGTGTTTAATAACCGATGACAGTGTAATGCAATGGACGTGCTCTGGGCTTTGTTTTATTTATTTAGATTAGACCTTTATCAGCTCGTTGCTGAACACTGCACATTGCTTCTGATTATCCAGATGCCTTAGGTGTCAGCTGTGTAAGGAAGACCTGGTGGCATCATTGACATTATGGAGTGAAAGTGTTGCTCTTCTTGCTGGAGTGATGTAGTGTCACATTTATGATTTGGCTAATCGAAGTTCATTTGAGGAGTGTGGCCAGTCGAACAAGCATTAAGTTTAATGTGAGCTTGTAAATTACTGATCTGCAGCTAATGGATCCAACAACCTTGTCTGGTGAAAGAGCATCTTGTTTGTGCTGAAGAGGCTATCGCACTCAAGTGAGAGCCATTTATTTTACTTCCACAGAAAAATACACTGTAGCAGAAATGTAGAACTGTTAAAATAAAAAAAAACACAGTCACTAAATCAATCCATGAAATGTTGGGGCGGCGAAGTAAAGGCTACAATTTTAATCTGAAACACTTTTGAAATCAGTAATTGAATTCATCAAACAAAAATATACTCCCCCTAGTGGCAGGTCCCACATTGAGAAAGTATCTTTATTTGTAAGAAATAATTTTAAACGTGTTCCATAGAAGCCCAAGCAAGTAGCGTATGCGTGGCAGGCTCTCAGTGTTTCCTTCCCCTGTGGGGATCTGGAAATGAGCGGCTCCCAGGCAGCCTTGTGTTAGATACGCTCAGGGACGCATCCTGCTGCACCTTGCCCTGGCTGGTTGCTTCCTCCTCAGCAGTCCTGCTCAAAAAATAGAGCAAGAGTTTTTATTGAAGCTCTGTTCCTTTTCCCTTTTTGAGACGAAAGCCTTTCCTTGTACTTCAGTCATTTTATCTTGTGAAGATGGCTGAAAATCTTAAAGAATAGAATGAAATCTTTTTTTCTCCAAATGATAACAACTTTAGATATGGTTTCAATTTTTTGATGTTTTATCAGTGCAGAAACACTTCTAATGGTGTTTCAACAAAGTACTAGATGGGGGCAACTAGCAGGTGTTGGGTAACTGACAGTCAAGTCAGCCATCGGGAAGGGTCCAAACTGGAAGTAACTTCTGAACCTTACCTGATACTCTGTTAAAATGCATGCTTAGAAAAGATTTGACTTTATTAAGCATGCTAATATTAATGGGAAAGCCTTGTCTTTCCTGCTATTCTTATCACATTGTATTCATTGTATTATAAACAACATTAACCTCAGTTATATAATACTGACTTACTGAGTTTTGCTATGTTATATAATACACATTACATGTGTCCCAGGACTGTGGCATGGTGCTGTTTTTTCAAATAGGATCTAAAGGCAAGGGACAGGTCCTTTCTGTCACCCAATTGTCCCTCCTTGTTGTTGAAAACAGCTTTGTTGAGGTAGCGTATGCTTCCTGACTGTTGGCCATTTCTGCACAGTGCATCTGGGACAGACGGTTCAAAGTGTTTAGTTACAAGTTACATTTAATGACAGGAGGAGAAACAGGACATAAAAGTAGGGAGCACAGGTCCCACCCTGGAAGGGGAGGTTGCATTTCCCGAGGAGGTAGATCTGAGCAAGTCTATCCAAGAAAGCGAAGCGGCATGGACCCACACCACCGCTCCTGCAGCCCAAACCCACAGAACTGGAGTGGTTTGGGACCCGCAAAGACTGCCACAGTTTCACATGAAGTGGAAACATACTTGTGTTCTTGAAGTCTTTGAGCTAGGAATCTCACAGTGCCGTTGATTCTGCTGGGAGGCAGTCAGTTCCCAGGTCCAGACACTGCCAAGATGCAGCACTTCCCTGGCGAGGAAGCTGGCGCAGCTCCTGCTTACTCCGCTCTGGGTGAACAGTTAAAAATAAGGAGGACACACGTCTTTACCAACTGTGCCTTAAAACTGATTTTCCTCATTGTGACCCCAACGGAGATGCTGCTTACTGACGCTCTGAAACTGTCATGCACCCTGCTTGACTTACATCATGTACTGTGTGTGTGTGCACACATGCGCACACGCGCAAAGGAGCCTGGGGGTTGCATGCCACATTACTCACTCAGCTGGTCAGTGAAGGAGCTGAGACTGGACATTGGCTCGCGGCTCTTGGCAGTAGTGTGCAGTGGTGTGCACATGTCCCCATGTCTTGGGGGTTCCGCTGGGCCACTGTCTCTCCTCTGTGTGGTGGCTAAAATCAGTTATTTGCTTTTTTAAATATATGATTTGCACTTGCTCATTGCATTGGTTGTATTTATTTCCGTTCTTCCCCGTTACTGACTAGCTACCTGCCACCCTGTTGTCTTAAGCATTGCTTTTAATCGCTGCATGATACCTTGAGGAGGCAACGCTGGTATTTCCAGATTTCCAGTATTTAGCTGAAATTCCAGAGAACACCCTGAGGCACATATATGTATATTTTTTTTACGAGGTTATTTTTTTTTTCTTGGAAAATTCCCAGGATTGAAAATTCAGGTTAGAGAAGTATGTTTACTTTAAAGATTGAGCCAAATATTATACTCAGATAGTATCAAACTACTGTGGCAATTTGTGAGTGTGTTTGCTCCCTTGCACTTTTGCTCATAGATGATGTTGCTTTCATATGCGAAAGTCTGGGTTGGTTAGTTGAACTTACTCTGCTGTGTTGGGCGTGGACTCGTGTTTAGCAGCAACGAATGTGTCCACTAACAGCTTTTCTGCCTGCAGTGTCTTTTACATGTTGATTTGTTTTGTTTTTTAAAATGAATTGGCCTTTAAAAATACATCCCTTTAAAAATAAATCCCTATTGAGTAATACCTGAAGAATAAAATTAAAATATGTGCATGTAGATAGATAGTAATATCTGAACGTTAGTGTGTTAGGTTTATGTTTTGACATAATACTGTGACAACTTGGACTTGAGTACTCCCTTTGTCTTTCCTTTTTTTGTCTTTCTAAACTCTCCCGCTGTTATTTTTCTCACAACTTTGGCTTAAACTCACTTGCAACATTACATTTTTTTTTTACTATGTGAATTTAACAAATTACTTGCGATGTCACTTTTTTTTTTACTACATAAATATTGCTTATTGTCAGAATAAAATTATGTAATATCATGAAGCATGCTATCAGTATTTTTCTACCTATTTCTCACTTTCATATTTATTTGCATCTGGGTTTAGCTGTCACTTAGGCTTGTTGAAAACAGAATTGGTGTGTCAGTCCTTTGCTTTTTTTCTGTTTGGGTGTGATTTTCTGGAGAATTTTGTATTCTCACAGGATGAAAGTGGAAGGGCCTTGCCTGTTTTTAGACTGCATTTAGATGTCACATCTCCAAAAAAAAGTCTTACTTGGTGCAGGATGAA